AAAACCCATTAAGATAATCTCAGAAGACATCAATTCTATGGAGATTTGATCTAATTATATATAGGCCAACTCTCTTTCAAACTCACAACTTCATTTGTAGCATTTATCTTAAACCCGAAACAGTATTTTCCATTGTATACTAATATCCCTTCTCTACCCTTTGACTGGAACTGAAGCATAAGAGAATTTATACTTCCCGCCACAAGAAAAAATAAACCGAGAGCAATTGTTGAAATTTTTCCCATGTTAATCTTCCTAAAACGATCAACCGAGAATCTTACGAAGTGTAACATATAAAATGGTATTTCCGAGTTCGAGGAGTTTATATTGGTTCTGACATCATAAGACATATGACCAGAAGAAAGAAAGTAGGATATTGGAGCACCTGCTCTTAGGGCCGGTTCAATGCTCTCAAGGTCAACCGTCTGAAGCTGCCCAAACCTATTCCAATTTTCACAAACGAGACACACACTTTCTTTGTCAGATTCTAAAGAAACACTCGCAAGTACCACAACACACTCATCAACCAAGCATATAATTATAAATGATATGATAGAATGCATAGGCAAANAGAGAGAGAGAGAGAGAGAGAGAGAGAGAGAGAGAGAGAGAGAGAGAGAGAGAGAGAGAGAGAGAGAGAGAGAGAGAGAGAGAGAGAGAGAGAGAGAGAGAGAGAGAGAGAGAGAGAGAGAGAGAGAGAGAGAGAGAGAGAGAGAGAGAGAGAGAGAGAGAGAGAGAGAGAGAGAGAGAGAGAGAGAGAGAGAGAGAGAGAGAGAGAGAGAGAGAGAGAGAGAGAGAGAGAGAGAGAGAGAGAGAGATGATACCAGTCAACTACTTGGCGAATTTTTGGACCAAACTCCTCAACCTGCACAAGTTAAAAGAATAAAAAGTATAAGAACAAAAATAAAATTGAAGGAACATATTTGACATATAACAAGGTTTGCTAAAATCTAATATGCAATTAATACTTGTTGAGGGGTTAGGGAAATGCGAGCCGTTTCAGCCAAGCGTGCAACATCTGGGGGCTCCAGAGATGACCTTGCAGTGCAAAATCGTTTCTTTTGAATAAACGCTTTTGGATAAGCGCTTCTCCCCAAGCTGAAAACCGGCAGTCCAGCAGTTCTGCTAATAATTCTAGACATGATTTGGGAGAGAGACAACAGTATATGCAGGGTCTGCACTGTAGATTTGTACAACCAAAGAGATATTCAGAAAAGTGGCCTAAATTTGTGGAAGATAAAACCTTTTTTTTGTCACATAAAAATTTATAAAAGGGATATCTGAAAATTCTATGTATTCATTAGGAAATCTTGGAGGTATGATAATAATATATAATTCCATGATACTTAATCATCATGCAAACAAGAATTAAAGCATCAAATCCAAAACCTCTTGATTCATACAATTTACAACAATAAATAAATAAATGATAAATGTATCGCAATTTTTGGTGAAATTCCAAAAAAGATACATTAACTTGGTCATTTTCAATAAAAGATGCGCAATTTTGGACCTCATCAAACTCGTCTACAATAAATTAGTAAAATTATCAAAAGAAGGTACACTAATTACTCTCTCAAGATAATTTATTGATGTGGTAGGACTACAGTTCACTATCACATGTCAAAAAGGGGTCAAATCCAAAATGGGCTAGAAAACGGAGCCGAACATGGGCCAACATGCGAATAAATTTCTATTGGAAAATTCAATGGGTAAACAAACTTTGATTGGGCTGAAATTTGAAGAGTAAGATCTTGATGAGACAAGTCCAATGACAAGTCACTTGACTAAAACGGAAGCCAAACAACACCAGAATTACCCCATAAAGAGAACAAAGAGAACGTAACATTTAAACTTTCGACGGAAAATAAACGGTCAATCAAACTTTGATCAAAATGGAAGCTGAACTATGCCAGAATTACACCAAACAGAGAACAGCAAGTGAAAAATGATACACGCAGAAATTTTTTTACGGAAAATTGAGTGAGTAAACGAACTCCGATTGGACCAAAATTTTATGGGTGTGATTGTCTCAACGAGATGAGTCCAATGGTAGGTATCTCGATCAATTTGGATGTCCAACAATGCTGGAGTTTCACAGGACATAGAACAGCTACACCAAAATAAATATTATACTTTTTTTATGAATTTGCCAACTTATATAGCGAGATTGATGAGGTCCAAGTTTCATGGCCAACTTAGTGCATTTTTTTGTCTAAATTTTGCCCACAATTTTCACAATACATGTGACCACCGTCGGCATGTGAGCATTTCTCTTAACCATCCCAAGCTATCTAACAACTTAAAAAAGGAAAGGAAAAAAAAATCCTTTTCCAGAATATATAAAATATATGGCTGAATATATATCTAATGAGAACCTCTGTATCTTTTAACCACTCAAGTTAGAGTTCTGTACCTTTGAAACAAATTAAAATATTCGGAATGAATTTTGGATTTCGCACTTGGGCAATAGGGAATTAGGGGCTTACCTATCGGAGCTCCGCCCGTGACAGCAAGTTGACCGTGCTGGCCGCGGCGGCGTATGCGACCGGAGATGGACTGTGGTGGTCGACTGAGCTCCGGATGCGCGCAGGATAATTCTGTTGGTCAATGTTCGTGCTTTTTTAGTCTTTTGTTTATCTTCTTTGTATTCAGATGGGCGATTTCGGCCTTTTGGCCCAATGACTTACTCATGGGCCTCTATTTCGTGGGCCTCATGTGGGTGGTAGAAGTATTAACCCACCTGTCAATAATAATTAACTAGTATAACATCCGTGTATTGCACGGATGTTTGTTAAAAAATTATTTTTAAATTTTAAAATTAATAAAAAAAATTAGTTTAAATTTTATTTACTTTTTTACAAAAAATATACTATTATATATATTAGAAAAACACTTGTTATTTGTGCAACTTACATGTGTTATATTATAGTAATTTTTATAACTTATATCAGATAAATACTTGAAATACAAATATATTAATTAATATATAATTTTATTTTTCTAATTAATATTAAAAAATATTTTTATTATTGTTATAAAGATAAATTTATTTTTTTTAGACATACAATATGGATGTTATATCGAAGTTCATCAAAAGATGATTAATTTGATATATTATATATGTAAAACTAACAAAAAATACAAAAGTTATTAACTTTTAAAATACATTTACCTGGCACTGGGCCGAGAACCGAGGCTCTTTCCGTTGAAGGAAAAAGCGTAATGGACAAATTCTGATATTCCAAAACCTAGAAATCGATAAGAGTTTAGGAAAGAGAAAAGAAAAATCAGAAAGGGGCTAAGAAATTACGTGAGAGAAAGAACCTCTTCCTTCTGTCCAGTCCCCCGATTCGTTCCTTATATCCGTTCTGTTCTGTTCTGTCTGGTTTGGTCTCGGTCTCTTTTCGCTTTGTTTTTGCTTCGCTCCGTTCATACGGTAACGTGACCATAAATAATCAATATATTTATGGATAATTCGGACCTAAATGTTTTTTGGATTGAAAGTAAATTAAAATCTACTCAAGCTTAGGATCTTAAATCATGCGAGTCTGTCACTTAGGCTCAACACTTTTTGAATTAATATATACGGGAATAGCGAATTAGCTAGAGTTCTAAGTGATCTGAGCCGAGGTCTATGCAATAAGTATATATGAACTAGTTGATAACAACTAAATAGTTTATAGATGTGAATGACTCGAGCCAAACTCGAGTTTAAGCTCAAATCTTTATCAAGTCGAACCGAACTTCTAATCCGAGTTTAAGCTATAATGAATTTACTAAATACGCACAAACTGGTCAATAATAACTAACTATTTCAAATGTGCAAACAATTTTGAGTCAAGCTCTATCAAGGTCAATAATAACTAACTATTTCAAATGTGCAAACAATTTTGAATCAAGCTCTATTTTGATACTCGAGTTCGGATTTTGACTTTTGAGTCTATTGAATCGAGTCGGACTCGTTTATGAATACTAACTAGTTGAATTGATTCTTAACGAAAAATTACGTAAATCTTTTAAAAGTTATGACATAATCGAATATTCTCAAGCCTCTACATTGATCTAACCCTTAGAGCATCTCCAATGGTCAAATATTGTTGTGGTAAATTACATTCCACATCAACACATTTAATAAATTCACCATTTTTTCATCTTCAATGTACAATGTGATCACAAATGTTGTGATGATGTGGACATAATTAATGTCTACAATGTAGAGAAGAATGTGATTCATCCACATTCTCTTCTACACTCTATCTAACCAATAAAAAAAGAGAGAGAAATATTCTTACCAATTATAAGTAATCTAATTATTTAATTAATTTAATTTCTTCTTTTTAATATTTTTAATATTTGATAAGTATACAATATTGTAGTTATACTATATTGTGCATTGGAGAGAATATTTTAGTTTCATAGTTGTAGACTTAACATTTTTCATACATGATTCACAATCCATTTAATTTATTGACATTTGGCAAAATTTATTCTACTACAACATTAGAGCATTGGAGATGCTCTTAACAAGCTTTCGATCCGCGTATTTCGTTGTTTCGGAATTATTTTGAAAAGACACAAGCTGCAAAGCCACGTGTAAATCTCAAGTTCAAATATGACCGTTGCAACCATATGCCAATAGACAAAATCAATTCGAATCAGATCGGAGAATTCCGGCTCTTTTACATCACCGTCTCTCTTTCTCTCTCACAGTTAAGTGTGTGATCGAGTGCATGCTTTATTCGGGGATGGCGATCGCAACCGAGACTCAACAAGAACACGAGGTAAGAAAATAAAAAAGCTCGATATCTAGGTTTTTCTCAATTTTTGTCCTTTTTTGTGCTGGAAACTTGTGAGAATCTCGGAACGCGAAAATATAATAGCCGTAATGCGAGGATTTGTCCTGCCATTTTTATTTTTTTTTGTTTCTGAGTCAGATTTATATTTGTTGTGCCATTTCTGTGTTCGAATTTTTGTTATTTTATTCATCTGATTTGTCGCAGAAATTTGATTTAAGTTTAGGGATTGGAGTAGTGATTGGCCAGACTAAAATTGTCTTTCCTCCGGCCATTTTATTTCTGAATCAGATTTATATTTCTTGTGCTATTTTTGTATTCGATTTTTTGTTCTTTTGTTCATCTGATTTGTTGACTTGTCATATTTTGAATTTCCAGAAAAACGAGGGCGTTTGTCCAAAATTCAATTTCGCTGCAATTTTTACTGCAGAAATTTGATTTAATTTTAGGGATTAGAGTGGTGACTGGCGAGACTAATTTATCTTTGCACCGGCATTAAGAATTTAGCTCACAATAAAAGAATGAAATTCGGAAATTTCGTTTTTTCTGTTCGAATTCGAGCTTGATGCAGCTAACGTATTTAGTTAACCATTTTTAAACCACCCTAAACTGGCCGTAAATCTTTAGAATATCGTGTTTTAACATCTGTAGGTGTTCGCATGAAATTCGTGCTTTGCTTTAATATGTGACTTTTATTAAGGCCAATAAATCAGCCTGTGATGAGACCTCTGTTACTTAAAATAAAGTTCTGGAGGAATTGAAAATTCAACATAAAAGGCAACAAGTAGATCCTACCCTTGATTATATCATTTCCTTTCTAAAATGATTTTATTCCTTCTTTGTAATCTTTTTACCGTTGGACAAATCTCTATAAGAGACATTGTATAGTTAGAAATAATATAGCTTGTGTTCATCGTTCCTTAAGCTTCTTTAATAAAATCCTTTTTTCTCCAGACACTCTCTTCCTTTTATCTTGGTATCAGAGACAGTGAACACAAGCAGAATACAAAACCAACCAGTCATGAATTCTTTATCTCTAAACGTCGGCAACTTCATTACACTCAAACTCACTCCAACAAACTACCCTCTATGGCGAGAACAAGCTTTAGCCCTTGCTGAAAGCCAAGAGCTGGTTGAACATCTGACAGATGAAAGCTCAGCACCACCAAAATTTACCACTCCAAATAACCCTTTAGATGCCGAACAATTCACACCACAGTTAACAAAAGAGTTCGCCGCATGGAAAAAAGCCGACCGCCTTTTGCGGGGTTGGGTAATTGGTACATTATCTGAAGAAGCACTCGGCTTGGTCATTGGAGTAGATACAGCGTTCGGCGTCTGGGAAGCCCTCAAAGATGCCTACGCACAAGACTCTCAAGAGAGAGAATTCACACTGAGGCAACAACTCACATATCTCCGTAAGAATGATGACAAATCCATTGCAGACCATATTCGTACTTTCAAAGGTCTGTGTGACAATTTAGCGGCCATTGGAAAACCCGTCCTTGACAAAGAAAAGGTATTTTACTTGCTCACTAGCCTTGGCCCGCAATATGAAACTTTCACTACCACTATGTTGAAACCTCCCCGACCCACTTACACTGAACTAGTGGCACAACTTCAAAATTTTGACCAAAGACGTAGTTGGATGAACAACACCGACATCGGTACCAATTCGTTTAATACCCCAATGGCTTTCTTCGGACAACACCAAAAACTTCAAGGAGGACCCTCCAAGTTCACATCATCAGGACGAGGTTTCATAGCACAACAACCGAAAAATCTCTCTCATTCTGAAAAATTCAGCCCTCAGCCAAAAAAACCACCACCTCCTGGACAACGACGTATGTCGCAAGCTGAAAGAGATCTTTATCGAGATGAGACGTGCCAATATTGTGGTGTAACAGGACATATTGCAAAAATTTGTTGGTGGATTCCAAAACCATCAAAGGGGACAGATGACTTACCACAAGCATTAGCCGCCCTCACATTGGATACCACTGTTGCTGATAATGAATGGACCTCTGATACTGGTGCCTCCAACCATATGACAGGTAAGTCAGGTATTCTATCTAACCTCCAAAATAATTGTGGATCAGACTCTATTTTACTTGGTGATGGTTCATGCTTACCTGTTGACGGAATTGGATATTCTGAAATTCGTCAAGATAACTTCAGTTTACCATTAAATAATATTTTATATGTTCCAAGTTTAAAGAAAAATTTGTTATCGGTTAGTCAACTCACTTCTGAATATCCTGTCAATTGTGAATTTACTGATAAAGATTTTTGTGTTAAGGACAGGAAAACAGGCCAACCGTTGATAAAAGGAAGGCGTAAGGGAAATCTTTATGTCCTTTCCAATCAACCTGAGTTAAATTTCTCTCACCGTTTCAAGTCTGGCTCATCTAATATTTGGCATCAGCGTTTAGGACATCCACAACACTCTACTTTACTACATCTCAAGAATAATAACCTTATTCATGTCACAGGCCCAACAAAAAATGAGCACGTTTGTGATAGTTGTCAACTAGGAAAACTTAGTAAATTCCCCTTTAGCAGTTCTGAGCATTCAAGTACTGATATTTTTGACAAAATTCATTGCGACTTATGGGGTCCGGCTCCAGTTTTATCACTTGGTTCTTTTCGTTATTATGCATGTTTTGTTGATGATTTCTCCAAATACATATGGATTGTTCCTTTACGATTGAAATCGGATTTATTTGATGCCTTTATCAATTTTGAACGGTATGTTGATCGACAATTTAACAAGAAAATCAAAATACTTCATTCTGATGGGGGAGGTGAGTTTGTTAATAAACGATTGTCTACGCATTTTTTGTCTTCTGGTATTATTCATCATAAATCGTGCCCATATACACCTGAGCAAACAGGTATGGTTGAACGGAGGCATCGCATGATTCGGGAATTAGGTATGACCATGTTATTTCATAGTGGTGCTCCTCTATCTCTATGGGTAGAAGCATTCTCAACGGCTGTGTACCTCATTAATAGGTTACCCTCTTCCGCGCTTAATTTTAATTCTCCTTACCTCATATTACACGGCACTCACCCCACATATAGCTCTTTACGTGTTTTTGGATCAAAATGCTTTCCGTATACTTGGGATACTCGAAAAAATAAGTTTCATCCTAAAAGCATACCTTGTGTTTTTATAGGTTATAGTGATCAATTTAAAGGCTATAAATGTTTTCATCCACCAAGTAAAAAAATATATATTTCACGGCATGTGGTCTTTGACGAATTATGTTTTCCTTATAAAGACCGTATTTCTTTCAAAATTAACACTGATCGTGTGAATAGTATTTTTGATTCTTGGTTGCCTACAACTAACAATTTTCTTTTGTCAGACTCACCCTCCGGTAGTGTCACGAATGACTCTAACTTTATTGACATACCTCTTTCGCTACCTCCAAATCCTATTCCAGATGTAGATCACCCCAACCATGATACCTCATCCACGCCTACAAACACTGCACAACCTGACACTACGCTCGCTTTGCCTACAACTTCCAGCCGAAATGATAATCCTACCCTGCATACTTCTTTGCCTAATGAGCCACAAATTCGAGTTTACCACCGCCGACCACGAGCTACAAATTCAGGTTTACCATCAAACGCCCCGCTGCCATCTTCCGACGAACGTCCTCCAGTTCTTTCCTCGTCAATTGAAACTGCCACTCAACCTCGTCACACTGAACATTCTATGCTCACCCGGTCCAAAGCAGGTACCCTGAAGGCTAACCCAAAGTATGCACTAACCATGACTCTCTCAAGTACTGTCCCTCGAGAACCGACCAATATACGTGCTGCTCTTAAACATCCTGGATGGTATGATGCTATGAAAGAGGAACTTAATGCACTTAATCAAAATTCCACATGGTCTTTAGTTCCACCATCCCCCCATATGAATATTATTGGATCAAAATGGGTATTTAAAACAAAATTAAAACCGGATGGCTCTTTAGATCGGCTTAAAGCTCGTCTAGTAGCTAAAGGTTATCATCAACAAGATGGAATTGATTATAATGAAACTTACTCGCCTGTTATCAAACCTGGTACAATTCGTTTGGTGATAACTGTTGCACTCTCTAAGCAATGGCAAATCCGCCAACTGGATGTCAAAAACGCGTTTCTCCATGGACATATCTCTGAAGCTATTTATATGCAGCAACCTCCAGGTATGAAAGACTCTAAATATCCACATTATGTTTGTAAACTTCACAAAGCACTATATGGCCTCAAACAAGCACCTCGTGCTTGGTTTGATCGTTTCAGCATTTTTTTAATAAGGTATGGTTTTTATTGCAGCAAAGCTGATCCTTCTCTTTTTATTTTACATTCTTATCATGGCACACTTGTGTTATTATTATATGTGGATGACATTCTTCTTACTGGATCTAATACCTCCTTAGTTAATTCTTTTATTAAATTACTTAGTCATGAATTTGCTATGAAAGACCTTGGTGAACTACATCATTTCCTAGGAATTGAAGTTTCAAAAACTACTCAAGGTTTGCATCTTTCTCAATCACACTATGCACTCTCCATTTTAGAACGAGCCAGCATGACAGATTGCAAACCAATGTCCACTCCTTTAGAAATAAAAAATAAACTTCATGAGACTAGTTCCCCTCTTGATGATCCGAGCATGTATAGAGGTCTTGTTGGAGCTCTTCAATATTTAACACTTACACGACCTGACCTTACATATAGTGTTAACTATGCATCTCAATTTATGCATCAACCTTGCACATCTCATCTAAAAATTGTTCGTCGTATCCTGCGTTATGTGAAAGGTACCATTCATCTTGGCCTACATCTTATTTCCCACACAACACTTGATCTTAGTGCTTATGCAGATGCAGATTGGGCTGGTTGTCAGGTTACTCGACGCTCTACTACAGGCTTTTGCACGTTCCTTGGTAGCAATCCTATTTCCTGGTGTGCAAAAAAACAGCATACAGTCTCCCGTTCAAGTACAGAAGCTGAATATCGTGCCATGGCTCATACTGCCGCTGAACTTACTTGGATGACATTTGTCTTACAAGATCTACACGTCCCATTAACTTCGACACCAGTCCTCCATTGTGACAACATTAGCGCACTCCATATGACAATTAATCCAGTGTTTCATGCTCGTAGCAAGCATATTGAACTTGACTATCATTTTGTTCGTGAAAAAGTTGCAGCCGGACAGCTCATCACCAAACATATTCCGACGCAACTCCAAGTCGCTGATATTTTTACGAAGTCATTGCCCAAAAGCGTGCTTGGTTTCTTTCAGACCAAACTATGTCTACGTCTACGACCCCAACATAGTTTGAGGGAGGATATTAAGGCCAATAAATCAGCCTGTGATGAGACCTCTGTTACTTAAAATAAAGTTCTGGAGGAATTGAAAATTCAACATAAAAGGCAACAAATAGATCCTACCCTTGATTATATCATTTCCTTTCTAAAATGATTTTATTCCTTCTTTGTAATCTTTTTACCGTTGGACAAATCTCTATAAGAGACATTGTATAGTTAGAAATAATATAGCTTGTGTTCATCGTTCCTTAAGCTTCTTTAATAAAATCCTTTTTTCTCCAGACACTCTCTTCCTTTTATCTACTTTGATGTGCTATTGGTCATTACATTCAGATGCTTAAATGTTCTGTTTCACTTTTTTGAATAGAATTCTTCTGAGAACCCGGCATCAGAGGAAAAGAGGTGGTGTATCCTGGACTTTGATATTGGGAAGCCTCTCGGCAGAGGGAAATTCGGACATGTATATGTCGCTAGAGAGAAAAGGGTCAGCATTCTCTTATTAATGATCCTCTTACCCATTTAATTTATTTTCTCGTTTGTTATGATTAGCGCAAAAAAGTATGTATTAATTTTAATTGTGCATTAACATGATACACTTAATATAGGGCATGTGAATAATTATCTTGTTAGCTATTATCTGAACTAAGCTCTTGTTTGGTGAAATTTGATACTTCCAAATGGCTTTCTTAATGGTTGAGGCCAATTGCTTGACTATATGCGAAGGGATTAAAAGGATGAAATATGTACAATAGGCTTTTATTTGCTTGGGGAAAGAAAATTGATTGTTGGAGAAATTTTTGAAGTGTCTGATTGAGTTTTTACCCCTTTTTATTCAAGCAGAGCAAACAAATTGTGGCACTAAAGGTACTGTTCAAGGAGCAGCTAAAAGAATCTCAGGTTGAGCATCAGCTTCGTCGTGAAGTGGAGATACAGAGCCACCTTCGACATCCTAACATATTACGACTCTATGGTTACTTTTACGATCAGGTGTGGGGTTTTTCTTTTTATTCAATAGCTTTGAAAGAAAATGCTGCTGCTGGACTAAATGTCTCGTATTTAACTGCAGAAAAGAGTTTATTTGATTCTGGAATACGCTGCTAAGGGAGAACTCTATAAACAGCTAAGAGACTGCAAACATTTCAGTGAAAGACGTGCTGCTACAGTATATCCCTAACTCCTGCCTATTACTGTTTCGATTGTAACTTGTTGCAGTCAGTTAGAATTGTGGAATGCATTTTGAGTTTTATAAGAGCATCTCCAATGCTATAACTTTGAAAGACAATGATTTTTAACACATGTCAATCAATGATTGTAAAGTTAATCCACATATGAATAATGTTAAAAGAATGAAAATTTCAATCAAACTAGTATCTCCAATCCATAACTTTGATAAGAAGTTATTTGTATAGGTGGACCAATTAAAATAATTCATTGATACAAGAATAATAAAAAATTAAATCAAAATTTAAGTGAATTGATGAGTCATCATGTTTAACATGGTGTTAGATATTAGAAAGTGGACTCAACATTGTTAACATTAAATGCCATCCACCTCATCATGAAAGAGTTCATGACAATATACATTGGAGAATAAAATTAGTAAGATACTTTCAAAAGTTGATGATATGGATGATTTTTTCTAATGTCAAAAGTGACATTGGAGATGCTCTAAATGGCACGGTTCTTGAAGATTTGATCTGCTTACTAACACAAGGCTATTATTGTTTCTGTGTTTGTCTTTATGCAACATGAAACAGTATATCTCATCATTAGCTAGGGCACTCATATATTGCCATGGGAAGCATGTGATACATCGGGACATCAAGCCGGAGAACCTTCTGGTTGGGGCACAGGTAATAAATTGTGGGCTTTTGTCTTGTGTTGGTTATTAAAATAAGTGGTGTACCCCTTTTCTTATATTTGTGTTTGGCTTGCCTTCCGATTGGTAGGGTGAATTAAAAATTGCAGATTTTGGCTGGTCAGTGCACACGTTCAATCGCAGGCGGACAATGTGTGGAACTCTCGATTATCTTCCCCCTGAGATGGGTGGGTATGCAAACTAATATCAATTGCAAACTGAAATAAAGGGTTGCTTTAAGAAATATACCATTGATGTGTTTCAAATTACCGGAAATGTAGCCATCTTTCTAAATTTCAAAAACTCTCCTTATTTTACTGGAAATATTTGTTAAGGAACCTCCATAGAGGGATTGTGACTAAAATAAACAACAAAGTTAATTTTTACTGTTGCGCCTAAGCATAAAAGTTCAATGGTGGCTGGCTAACTAATATACACACCGAATAAACTTCTTTTTATTTCCTTTTTTTTTTGGTTCTTTTTTTTCTCTTGCTGAACAATGTATGTTTTATAATCTTAAATTTTTATAGTGGTGAGTGCGGAGCATGACACAAACGTGGATATATGGAGCCTCGGTGTACTGTGCTATGAATTTCTCTATGGAGTTCCCCCTTTTGAAGCAAAGGAACATACGGACACATACAGAAGGTAAAAATCGGGTCATATTTAACTTTTTCACGTACGATTTAATCAATTGCTAAACACGAGCAATGTTGTTGCAGTAGCTTTTTAGTTATGAACAGTGTATTTATGGTCCTGGTTTGAAGTACAATATGACACTGTGTTCTCGGCAGGATTATCCAGGTGGACTTAAAATTTCCTCCACGACCAATAATCTCTTCAGCAGCAAAGGATCTGATAAGTCAGGTACCAATTCAATTATTGACACTATGGTATAAAGCTTGGTCTAGTTCATTTTTTGTTGCTTGATTTTACTTATATTTGCTCTTTTTATTTTATGTTTTCCGTGCCATAGATGCTGGTAAAGGATTCTTCGCAACGCTTGCCTCTGCACAAACTACTCGAGCATCCATGGATTGTGCAAAATGCTGATCCCTCTGGCATTTATAGATGTTGATGAGAATGCCTCAACTTTCAACCAAATGAATAAAGGGTCAATTAGATATGATATTGTATTATTGTCAAGAAAATGATTTTATTGGAAACATTGATTGACCAACTGATTGTAGTGCTTTCTAGTGTGAAAGTAGTTTTATATATTATTTTTACCCATTTCCACATTACTTGACTATCCCAATGTAGCTTACTGATTTATTGAACAACAATAAACAAATCAACAATTTTCTAGTGGAATACGAGAACTACCTTATTGTGAGAGCAATTGTAACAAATTTAATTGTGTTTTGTTCTTCTCTAAATAGAAATTGTCATTAAAAACAACACTTATATATACTAACATTTGTGTAAATGATAACACCGCAAGATGTTAAAAATTGCATCATAAACAAGTCTAACACCGTTTTATTAGAAGCCTACATACACTCTTTATAATTTATATCAATTGGCAGAGTGAAAATTATTTAATTTGGACACTAACAATACCAGCCAAGAAGCAGCACATAAAGCCTTGAACCAGAGCAATTTATCGGGAAAAAAGAATACTTGGGGAGCCCATCACCAATGGCAAAACATACAAAAGAAACATAACCGAGTCAATTTGTTCTAAAAGAAAACTTCAACAACAAATTTATTGCCCGCAGCTGAGGCATCTTAACAGATCGGTCACCTTGAAATTTGTTCCTACACGCCCATTAATCCAATATTATGGTACATACCTCATAGTCAGAAAACCGGTACACACACAAGACCGATTTTGGTGCCAAATTTATGTAATGCATGATTTATGTTTTGTCAAGTGCTTTTAATTTCATTTGTGCTGGTGTCTGAATTATCTGTATTACCTGGGTTCTCACTGTCGCATTCTATTACTTCATCTTCACCAGCTTTTGGTCCCAGAAAGCTCGGTTGATTGGTCGAAGACAGAAGCCTTGCCCACATCCTGTCTGTTATTACAACCATGTTTTGCTTTTCCGTAATACGCTGCACCAAAAAACAAAAAAAAAGACAATTGTTGTCAATTTAATGGGAATACATGTATAACAGAGAACTGCAGATTAAATGTGTATCCGTTTGGAAATTAAAAGACTTTTTAAGACTTCATAAATCCCTGGTGTATTTTAATTTACACTTTTTAAGACTTTTAAAAGTCTTCAGTATTCATCTGGATTTTTAAAAGTCTTACAAAATTTTGAGGTATTTAATTTATTTGAGACTAGAATTTTGTCAAGACTTTTTAAAATTTGCTGGGATTTCTGAAGAAAAAAACATATACGAAATCTTACTCCAAATCCCGCCTCCACACTTTAAGATTTCACATGATTTCTCCTAAATCTGAAAATTTTAAAGTCTCAAGTCTCAAAATGTCATTCGAAATCTCAAATGAATACACCCCCCTTAGTAATACTAGGGCTAAGTTTATTCTTTCGTGTCTTATATTTTACCGAGTTTCCATTTTTTTTTTCTAAATTCTGAACCTAAGTTCGACAAGGAGAACGAACCTGAGAATTCTCCAATATATTTCACGATAAATTTCACTTACATAGAAGGGGATATACGTTTGACGGCCATTGACAAGCCCACTTGTGAAGCCTGTGTACCCTGCCATTGCACCATGGACAGCACTTTGAGCAAGGAGAGTGCAATACACATTGTCAGCAGCATTGCTAGGAATAGCACGGATCATGTAAGTTGGATCTGCAAAATTATCGAGTTAGTTAACTTTAGAAACAAAATAATAAATAATTGATCCCAGCTCGAGAATACTGACCTATGTACTTTAGAGTGATTGGGAGTTTATTTTGCTTCGCGAAATGTTCCTGTCGGAAGAGAAGGTAGCTCAATAAAACGTTTGATCACCATAAATTTGCAAGAGTTTGACTGAGAATTCAAGTTTGGAGATTAATATAAGTTCAAGCCAATTCTAACAATTAAAAGGGAAAACTAATCATAGTGCATTCATTTTACCCTATGGAAGGCATAAATTAATCTCACTTTTACCATTTAATTGATTTTAGGTTTATGTCTGCCGAGCAGCATGTGCTCTTCACCAATCACCATACAATGTGTTCCAACCATCTCACAAAGCTTTCTCACACATTCTCATAAATTGCTTCTGCAGACCACTTATGCTCTTTCTCTAAATACTCCATCTATGGCAAGTCAAGGGTGGCCGGGTAAATATAGTGATTGCAAGTCGGGTTTGTACAGGTTTTCTGGTATATATAAGTTGTCACTACTCACGATTCTAGATTTTGGACGGTGGTAGAGAGGTTAATATAGCCATGTTTTGCTTACAGTTCTATGGCAACACAAACAATTGCTGCATTCCTTCTAACCCTTCTTTATGCGTATTTTCCTTTTCCTAGCACAAACTGATTTACCTAAGAAAGTCGAAAAAACGGAAAGAACACGTCAAGAAGTAGCCTCAAAAAGTCAAATCCCGTTTTACATAACTATACCTTTATTTTTTGAGAAATCCACAACCCGACATCTTGAAGCAGCTTGTTTCCCGAAGCATCTTGTTCGTTTTTCGCCGTAAGAAGTTCCTGTCCTGCTCCTTCAGCAATAACAATGACCATATGCCCATTTGCTTTGAGTGTTTTCTCTATATATTCGAAGAGTCCACCTTTTCCCTCTAAATAAAATGGAGATTCTGGAATTAGACAACAGTCCACATCCCGGCTAGCCAGCGTGGCATACATTGCAATAAAACCTGCACCAGTGATTTAAAGTAAATTTAGACGATAATATAAATTATTCGTGTCAGAGCTCTATAAGGATTAAGGACATAATACTTATCTTTTTACAACTAGGTAGTGATTCTTTTGGCTAAAATTAATGGAAAACACACGTCCAGTAAAGTCCTTCAAATAATATTTATTCAATTTTTCAATTATATTATTGACAGTTCAAGAGTACAGATTCATCTTACCACTGTAGCGACCCATCAGTTTCACCACACCAATCCCGTTTTCTGCACTCTCAGCTTCAACATGCGCAGCATTTATGGCACGCTGAGCTTCCTCTACAGCAGTATCAAAACCAAAGGACCTGTCAATAACCTGATAGCAGAATCCAAACCAAAATCAGTTCAGATAATAGAAGGAAATAAGTTCTTTAGTGTAATAAAAGAAAAGGAAGAAAGAACACGCGTATTCATATGAGTTGGGTTGAGGGGTGATCTACACACAAGAATACTTTGACTTGTTTATTTATTTCTTAATTATCTTTACGGTATAGCATTTATTTTTTTCTCACAATTATAATTCATGTGAGGTGGCAATTGATCCTTGAAATACATATTCTGTAAAAGATAATAGCCACTCAATGTTTGATTTGTGAAATCTTGTGATTCATGTGAAGAGCAAACACATGTTTATTGCATTTAAGTTCATAATATACTAAGATAATAATAAAATCAATACAAAACCTGTTCAAAGAACAAGTTTCTTTAATAAAATTGGAGGAGGGGAGCTACCGGGATATCATTATCAATTGTCTTGGGAATACCAGCAACAGCAACCTTTAGACCACGCTTTCTAATTTCCTGCAAACGAACAAAAACATAGATTCACTTTGCCATTCAGCTGCTTTTGAAGAAAAAATACATCTCCTCGAAACTACATATATGCTATATGGATAAGAATATCAAATTGGCATATAATAACTTAAGTGGGATAGAGCCACTTCCAGTTTCCAGTTACAAAGCCTGCCTTTTGAGCATACAACAATAACAAGATTGGGGACTTGTTGACAAAAATCATTAAATAGGACACTGCTTTCACCAGCAACTCCTTATCATAAAACAATTACCTTACCATTTCTAATTCTCCACAAAAAATTTCTAAATGCCGTTTTCAACGATTTTCGGTTTGTTCCCATAAAATATATACGCTTCATCGAGACATGGCTATAAGAAAGTAGATTTATTCCCTAATAACAATACCTCATAAATCACAGATGCTCCTTTCTGGGTGCCATCTCCTCCGATTATATAAACCTGAGCCAGTAATACTGTTCATCAGAGCCAAAGTGCAATTTATTACAAGCCACAACATGAGTAAATGATCATCAGCAGGTAAAAATCCAAAAAGAGCTGTTTAAAAGTTTTGCTTATATATTACACATAGCGTAATACATGCCTGATTAATTCCACGGTCTTGGATGCTGTCGACAATCTTAGTGGTGTCATGGCCACCTCGAGATGTTCCCAATATGGTTCCACCACGCTTGTGTATGTCATTCACAATCTTTGGTGTTAAAGTAATGGTATTCTTTGAATAGAAACCCCGGTAACCTCCCTAAAGAAATGTTGCTATTAGGAGAATGTAAATGAATTCGACTAAAATTATGGCAATAGCCTTATCATAGGAGCTGAGTAAGGAACGAAAAAAATTCTATGATCTTGTGGCTTGTGGCGATTGAAGAAATACAGATATCATATTCTGTATATATACATATATATATATATATATGTATAGGCATATTCTAACGAATTCTGTTTGGGGAGAAAGAAAAGCTGTTCGAGGTTTACCATATGTCATAATCTGAATTTTAAGTGGTGATAGCTAAAACTAAAACCTTTCTGGAATAGTAATTCACGATTAACTTTTATAATCAGCTGGCTTACATCGATTCCAAGGACTTTGTTGACCCCATACATATAGTCAAGGCTATATACGATTTCCCTTATCACTGTATTTAGTCCAGGACACAGACCACCACAAGTTACGATACATGCAAGCACCTCATCTGAAGCAAAATAAACCTGCGCATATAAAAGCAAATTAAAACAATGTTTTGCTCAATTTTACAATACAGGTAAAGGAAGACTTGCCTTTTGGCGAGGTCCAGCCCGCCTAAAATGTACCCCTCTTGGAGTATCCTTGTGAACAACAACCTGTAAAAAAATTGACCATATATAAAATAATTACTTTAAGAGAAGGTGAAACTACAACAAATGCACTGAAACGGTAGTTTCAGCTTTTTATGAGTTAAAAAGCAAGTGGCAGGAAAATGTGGTTACACCATCTGAAAAATGTGGAGTTCTTCTAAACATAGCAATTGATTATCCAGCCTGATCAAACTAAACAATAAGCATAACAGCACAACCACACAGATTCCACAAAAGAAACAACATATTCCAGAAATGGAAACATCCAGCACAATCACCATTTCATTTGAAAAACACTGGCTATTCTATCATTTCCAACTACCAGATATGATCAATTATAGTCTTTTCCATGTCTAATGTTATCACTTTATATGCCATTTAAAGCCTAAAAGCACATCTTACATGTATGCTTCTATTTGTTACCCGAGATCAACATTTAAGACTGCATGAACTGCACAAGGAATAAATCAATGCACTTCTGATATAAGTCCCTGGTTGAAAAAATATATGAATAAATATGAATAATGACAATACCTTTTCGGGGACGCTATCATCCATGTCAACAAAGTGCTGCCTGAAATGAAAGGAAACAACATACTTTAACTTGCATTCATAAAAATAATATATTGCTGAAAATGAAAATCAGGAAGAAGAAAGATACAGAATGGGAAAAGGCGAAAGAGAGATTGACTAACTTGACAACGGAATAAGCAGGATTTGATCGTAGTGGGTTTGGATAAGTCTGCCAAAATATCCAGCAGAAACATGAGTAATAAGAAAGATAAATGACGATAATAGCTAAGAAATTTGGACGGGTAAAAGATAAATGACGATAATTTTTAATCTAAACAAGAACCTAAACATTCATGATAATGTCCTAACTGACAAGTTAAAATGAATCCAGCCAGTTAAAATCGAAATCACATGTTTAATTCTACAAATAAGAAAATATGCTTAAAAATGTAATGTCCATCATGAATATTTACTAGCTGCTTCTTATTCACTAATATGTTCTTCAACAAATGAAGCGGGAAAAAAAAAAATGAAGCGGGACAGGACAAATGAGGTATTTTCTTCATTTCATTTTCCTCCAGCACATAATACACTCCATATTGAAGTTTGAAAACACGCTTGCAGACAAAAAGCTTTGTTGTTTTTTTATACACGATATATAAGAAAAATGTATATGTATGTAACAAACATGTGGAAATTGGAATACTAAATATTGTAAGCTATATATAATATGAAAAGCAAGCACTAATCTAACTATTTTCCAACACAAATATCCACTTCTCACACACCACCAATTTCAAACACCATCATTACAAATCCAATTCATAAAACTAAAATCATTCAACTTATAATATTTCAGTTCAAGATTTCTAGTCTGTCAACAGATTCAACACTCACAAAATAACATTATAATCCTCGAATGTACTGCTTACAAAAAGGAAACACTCCCACAAACAAAATTGCTTAGCTCAAAATCATTACCCAATTAAAAATGTTGCCTGTTACAGCTCTCAAAATACATTATCATACAGAAACACTCTCAAAATACATTATCATACAGAAACAAACGATAAAATCACATCATAACATAACGAGAAAATAAACAAGATCATCAAAACATGTCATCATAGGATAAAAAAAACTAAAACTACGAAATAATGAAAATGCAATAGCGTGACCACAAGCCAGTTGTAATCACTAAACAAGCCGACCAACATCACCAATCTGATTCACATGCACAAAACACGACAAGAAAAACATTAAGTCAACCACATCTTATTCATTATGTGACAAACAAACACAATTCATAACAAAAGAAAAAAGGCACAATATATCTAACATAACTGCATAAACAAAGAGTCGAAAGAGGCACAACATACGGGGAGATCGGAAATGTAATCGGTGAAATGAGGCACGTCTTGAAGAACATATCCAAACTCCCCTTTCACCAGCTTCTTCTGAAAATTGCTGTTCGAATCCATAACCTTCCCGCAAATCGAACAGGTTCTCCTTGAATGACGATGAATACGATTACCAATGAAACAAACAAGAAGGTGGTAGTGTGTATGTATCTATATCTCTCCCTCTCTCTCTATTTTCCTTGGGAATTTTTGATGAAAAATGACGAAAAAAACGGATTGCGATCTTCTCGTGAAGCCTTGATTTAGCTAATCTTATTGAAAATTACTGATCAAGAAAACAGGTGGCGCTTGTTTGCTTGAATTTCTATGACTTTCTATATAAAGCTCTGCTTTTTTTACACAGCAGCTGGTTTTGGGGTCGTGGTAACATCGCAGAGTAGAGTACTACCGGGTCTGCTCGTCTTTACCTTTCAGGTAGTGTGTAGTTGATTACAGTCAACTAAATTGTCAAAAGGTTCTCGAAGACCATATTTTATATAAATAATTTTCTTCAACTTTATTTGTAATCTCAAATTGTTGTTTTTTTTTTTTCTTTATGAATTAAAGAAACTTTTGTGACTATTTTGTTTTTTCAGCAAAATGCCATAAAGGTCTGACTACTTTTTTTCCTAACATTTGTGTCTACAATTGAATGTTGTCGACCGTCACAACGCTATAAATTTTGCCATTGATAGATTTTTCCTTTTTCCAATTGTTTGTAACATATTATTTTTAGTATAAGATCAATAATGTGGCATAAGGGTGCATTTAGTATTAAAAATATTACATTCTTGACTTGTTAAAAGTTGCTATGTTGGTATGGAATAAGAAAATATGAAAAATGCTACAAGTACATAATAAATGTACATAGAGGTGTACATAACACACATAGAGTGGGGTCCACTTGATTTTTTATTTGCGGTATGACCATTTAATGTGAGTGTTATATACACTTCTATAAAAAAAATACATACCACTCACATTAAGTGGGTCTTACCAAAAATAAAAAATCAAGTGGAACTTATTTGAAAAGCTATCAAATAAATGTACATAAGGTATTATGTACTTGTAGCATTTTTCAAATATATAATACTCAAATTGTTTTACATTTCAATAATGAATTATGCTTTGTAAAAGCAGCTATAAGTTAGCTTATACCTTATAAGTGATTTTTTATCTTATAGCTTATGATTTATAGCTGAAAGTTAGCTTATATAATAAAAATGTTTAGTAAAATTAACTGATAAGTTAGTTAAACTAAAAATTTCAATGAACTTATTTGAAAAGCTATCCTAAAAAACTTATGAGATAAGTTCGATCCTACCATACAAAGCTTATTTGAATACAGGAAATTTATAAGCTAATCATATAAGTTACTACTCTAACTTATTTGTCTACCAAACGCTATGTTTGATAAAACTAGCTGATATGGTAGTTGATAGCTAATAAGTTAGCTTATAGCTTATCAGTAAATTTTGAGCTTATACCTTATAGCTTATGATTTATAACTGAAAAGCCAACTTATATTATAAAAATGTTTAGTAACCTGATAAGCTAGCTGAAATAAAAATTACAACGAGCTTATTTGAAAAGCTACATAAAGAAGTTTATGAGATAAGCTATTTAAATAAGCTATAAGTTAGTTTATTTGTCTATCAAATATAGTCACAATTTTTGTAGGATAAACGTGTATGATGATATAAAATGAGATACTCAATTTCATTTTAGCAATTTAACATAATAGCTATTTTTCATATTAGTATTTGTTTTTATTCATAAACTATTCACAAATCCATAGCCTCAAACAAATTGAGTTGTTTTTTAGTTTGAGTTGTTTAATGTTGTTAAATTAAACAAGTGTGGCTCGGTTCGTTAAGGTTCGGGTTCGACTCGGGTCGTTTGATAAACAAGACGAGCTCGAGCTCATTTAAAACTCGTTTGATTAACGAGCCGAGCTCAGTTCGGCTCGATAAGACTCTTTAAGGCTTGAAAAAATAACTTTTATATAATTTTCTATAGTTCAATTCGTTAAAACTCAAGATCTACTGGTTATAAATGTTAAATGAGTCTAGCCCGAGCTCGATTTCAGGCTCGTTTATTTAACGAGCCGAACTCATCTACAGGCCTACTCGTATTAAAGTTTAGCTCGACCTTGGGAATGAGCAAGCACGGATTAAGGTGCTCAACTCGAATTTGAATTTGTATGTTATAAGATCGAACAATAGTTACTCGAGTACTAGTACGAATCCCGTGCTATGCACGGGTAGGATATATTTATTAGGGAGATTAGATACCATATAGTAACACCTTTCTAGTTCTTATATAAATAATTAAATATTTGTTTATTTTGGTTCTATTTTCATTAACTAATAAGAATCCTGTGCTATGTAGGGGTAGGAGATATTTATTAATATTTATAAATTAAAAATACACATTAAATAATATTTATATCTTAAAAATATGGAATCAATTGTAATACAATTCACCTATATTAAATTTATTGAAAATGTTATATGAAATTTAAATTGTGCAAAATTATAAAAAACATGTCTATTTAAAATTAGTACACAACCCGTATGGTGAACGTAACTGATAATAAATTACAATATAATTTCAAATTAAGTGTCATTTTCAAATTTTCATTCAGAAATTCAATTTAACTACAATGTAATTCCATAAAAATTAGTACAGTTATAAAACTATGTGAATAATAAGTACAGTTATAAAACTATATTATTTCATTAATTAAATTGAATTTATTTTTGTATAAACTATCTAAATAAAAAAATTAAATAGTTGAGTAATTTATTAAACTATAAATAATTGATCATTCTATTTACGTCCAAGTTAATACTAACCCGTAAGTTATTAAGAATAACTTATTTGACTTTTAAATTTGGAAACCAAATTTAGACTACACAATAAATTCTTTATATATACTATCTCTCAATTTTTTAGATTTTTTTTCGGTTACCTTATTGTTCAAATTTATCAACTAATTCTCTAAAACTAAATTACAAATTTTAAATTTTATTAACTAATATTTGTTCAAAAATCTTTCTGATATTCAAAAGGAATACAGATCAATTTGAAAAATTATCATCAAAATCGTGTTGGTTGATCAAATTTTTAAGGGAAATGATGTACATATTGTATTATTTAAACCGTAAAGTTGTGAATTATTTGTAGAATAAATCAATTTGTAGTATATGAAATCCTCAAATTTTGGAATAAATCAATTCGTAGCTTTTGAGCCTACATTATATGGAATCCTCAATTTTTGAATTGTTATATTCTAAATAGTTTTATATTAAATAGTCACTATTGTGTGATTTTATGCATCATAACTGACTCATGAACCGACCTATCAAACATGTTGGGGTGAATCAATGAAGATATTATTTAACAAACTGAGTTAGTACTAATCACATCAATAGTAGTAGTTGGAATCCTCAATTTTAAAAAATATTTGAAGTGATATGTTTTTATCATGTTTAGAAAACTGGTACATTCTTTAATTAAAAAAAAATTCAATTTTAAACAGAAGACCAACATAATCGGTTAAAAAAAAAGGAAGTCAAATATATTGCTAAAATAAAAATATATTTTCCAAATGAAAAGGAACTTGAATTTATCCGATATGGAAGGAATCTCATTCAAAACATATTGAACTCATCCAAAACATACTGAATTTCGAAATGAAAAAAATTCAAACTTTCGAAAAAATTTCAAACAAATTATTAGAGGGAAAAAAGTGATTTGAGCGGTAAAATGAAATAATTTTTCAAACATTTTTTTTTCTCTCTATTATATAGTAATAGATTAGTACAATTTGCCTCAATACTCCTAACTTGAAACAAACACAATTTTTTTTTTATTTAACATAAATTATTTATTAAAATTCGTGAACTCGAACAAAATTTGNAAAAAAAAAAAAAATTAAGTTAGGGCTCCTATTTGTGATTTGTGAAGGACCTCAGATGGTAAATCGTAAAGCTTCCCAGCTGAAGCTGATAGAGATAGACTAATCTCCATCTGTCTACTACGATTAATCCACGTTTTTCTGAGGCGAAATTCCCCACAAAGAACTAGGACACGGCAGTCATGGATGGCGACCTTGAAATCTCACTCGACAAGCTCCCGATCAAACGGCTCGAAGCCATTGAAGAAAACGGCTTCGAACGCTTCCCCTCGTAAGTCTTATCGAACTCCTCCTCGCAGTATGTTAATTCATGTTCGAAAATCTGATGCCTGAACGGAATTTATGACTGTCTGCGCGTAACTGCGTGAAACAGCGATGTGCGATATGATGAGAAGAGAGTGAATTTGATACGGAGGATCGATTTTGCCTGGGCGGTGGAGAGAGAGGATCCCAGTAAGAAGCGGAAGGCCGAAGGTACAAGTGCTGCTAAGGAAAGTACAACCACCAATCAGCAGCAATGGCAGTGGCAGGGTTTGGTGGAGAACCTGCAGTTAGCTCACCAGGAGCTCTCTGTCATAATCGACCTCATAAACACGGTAAAATTGTTTTAGGTTTTTGTTTCTGAATGGGAAATCCAGTTTGTTTGAGTGTATTTTGAACTGGGAGATACATTTCGGGTCATTTCATGGAAGTAATGTGCACGTAATATGCCCGAGTATAGTTTTGCAGCTCAGGCGGTTGCTGTTATGAGAATGTCACACATTTTGGACCACGCTTTGATGCAATTTCTCTATCGAAGCTACTTTTTTTTATTTAGCAGTATTATTGTGAGCATATCTCTATATGGATAGGTCGTTGAATTGAATTATAGAGCTTAGGAAACAGCTGCAGCGTATCGGGCTTCTTTAGGATTAATCATGGTTCTGTGAAGTTTTTATATTTGTGTATTTGTACCTTCATGGGTAGCAGTTACTGTCAAGCAATTAATTAGCTTTTTGACATGGCAATTTGAATTTTGGATTTTGCATGAGCATGGGTTTAGTTTCAGATGCTTGTGTGCTTTGGTTGATTTATTTCTTGACATGTTATCGAAATATCCTTTGCTACTTTGGTGAACTTATGTTAAGACTCCACAAGCCTAGATGCGTATAGTAGTTGCAAATATTTTATGTCTTATTAATTTACTTTCACGCCTCATTTTATAGTGCTTAGCCGTTTTTTCTGGCTACTCCTCACACTTTCTCCTTCTCTAAAAAATTGCTAGTTGTGATGTAAGCACACCATTTAGATTTTGGTTAGGACCTTCTCGACCTCTAAAAAATTGCTAGTTGTGATGTAAGCACACCATTTAGATTTCAGTTAGGCTATTTTTTTAAAGAAAGCCAGAAATCCAATTCAAAAGTTTACGTATTTCCTGTTTGTCTATTGTCCACATTCAGGTGGAGGCCAATGATGCTGTAACAGTTGCAGGCATGACACGCCCGAAGCAGTTACCAAATGAACATCTGTCTGACCTTGCTGTGTCTACAGCGACCAAGCTGCAAAGCTTCCGGGTTTTCTTAAACTTCATAAACTAGAGTATTTTGTGTAATTGTTTTGATTTTTGTATAAACAAATATATTCTTAAATTTCGCTTTCTTTTTATTGTAAAATCAGTTATTATATAAACATACATAAATTGTTTTGACAAGACTTATTTCCCGTCATGGATTCTAGTTTTTTCTTATTATGTTCTGTGGATCTTTGGTAATTGCAATGTAGATGTTGTATTGACTCCTACATTCTGGCATTTAATTAGGAGTATGTGAATCTTTCCTAAGAGCTTCAGTTGAATTGCAGAATCTTGGAAAATACTTCAAGCAGTCTGCCAAAGCACTGGAAGAGAAAATAGAGAGAGAAGCCCGATTTTATGGTGCCCTCATTAGGTATGTTTTGAGCGCAGCAATTCATATGTCACTTCTTGTAACGTTGCATAAACTGCATAATGCCTCCTGTGTTATGTTGATTCAACTGCTTCATTTTCATGAATGATAGATTGCAGCAGAATTGGAAAATTAAAAGGCACAGGCTGGTGGCTGCTGTCTCAGGCAATGAAGGCTTCTATATCGACTTATTTGACAATTCACTATATGATTCTACTATCGTGTTTCGACCCTCTTCCTTGTCCACCATCCCTGTTGAGCATGACTCAGCTGGAATGCTTGCTGTGAATTTTCCTCGAAGAAAATGCCACTCTCTTCAGTTTGAGTTTCTTGGATTTAGTTCTGCATATAATTCGAGAAAATCAGATGAAAACAAGACACATAGTGTGACCAAGGATTCTTCTAAAGAACATGGGATGGAACATGCAAGCGACGACGAACGTGTGAAGGACATGCATTTAACCCTCCGTGAAGTTCATCGAGCAATACATGATGAGCAGGTAAAAATTTTGCTATCGTTTTTTGCCTTTTGGCTTCTTTTTTTTTTTTTAATTTCATTTTTTCATGCATGTTTTTGTTAATCTGATGCAGAAGTGGGTTTTGGCCACTTAGCATGTTTTGTGACTTCTTGTAATGATTTTGGTAAATTCCAGGTGTTTGATTTGGTAAATCGTGAAGCATGTAATCCATCTTTGTGTGTAAATCTGACTGGTATAAAAGAAAATTATTTACGCCTAAGCATTGGTCAAGGAGCGTCACTTTCCGTATCACTTGTGTCACCCAGACAGGAGGATGATCAAACAGCGGGTATATCAGATGGAAATACTAAAGATGCTGAATATGTACCTCCGGAATCCCCTGATGGAGCAAAATATGGACCTGATGAAGCAAAAAAATTAGGGATCCCAAATCAACTTGGTTTCGAGATTTATTTGCGGCAGTTATTTCACGAATATGTTTTTGTGAAAGCGAAAAACAAGTCTATATCCTCGTCTAGAAGTCAGATTCCTGGTCAGCCACTCAAGGACAGTTCAAACATTCTGAGTCATTTCTGCATGTCTCTTGCTCACAGAATCTTCTCGAATAAAGTTCTCTCTGTGCTGGAAAATCTGGTGTGGATTATTTCTTCTCGACACTTGACATAATATAGTATCAGACACAAAATATTTTATTGATTTATTTATTTGTTGAAATTTGCTGAAATTGATGATGATATCAGAAACTGAGAATGCTACAAAATTGAGCTTTATATCTTTGCAAGAACTTCTATCTTAGGACGTGTTTTTTGAACTTGAAGGTTTATAGGACACCATATATCGACTTGATCTCTCATCCAACTTGGCATTCTCGGACATCTTCATGGACGCTCTCGATGAAGATTCCTCAGTCCATCCTTAACAGCGGGAGACAAATGCAGACATACGAAGTCAATGCCTTGAAGAGTGTTAGGTCACAGTTCTGGACAAAGGTAGTTGTGGTTGATGACTCCATTAGTGTTGAAGGTGAAGGTGCTCCCAATGTCGTAGGTTTATTCAAAGGGAAGTCTGAAAGTGTTTGCTTGATTAATGGTTATAATTGTGACTTGGCGGACCTTCCTATCATACTCTTGCAGCAGGTATAACTCCCACCGAGCTCTCTCTCTGTTCTCCCACCAATGACTTCAGCTTGTTCTTTTTTTTTTCTTTAATAAGATAACAATTAATAGAATTACTTAGGGTGTGATTGGATATGAATCCAATCGGTTTTGTTTGGTTAAAGTGAGTTATTTTGAATAAAGTTGATTAGGTGGATGATTTTGAGTTTGAATTAAATAATATTTCAAATGTAACGATTGAAGTTGATGTGATATAAAAGTAGGAATTAGATTATTGAAAGTGATATGTAGTTAAAATTATGTGAGTGGAGAGAATGATTGATTCGTATTATTTAATTATTTTTATAAAAAGTAGGAGAGTTGAATTGGATTAGGAGTTTATGATTGGATATGAAAATGAAATAATCCAACCGGTCATAACCGTGTAAAACTGGTTGTAATTCATATCTAACCACGCCGTTATGATTATTTTTGCGTTTTTAATCCTCAAATTTCACCACTCGCATAATTCTAATATTATTTTGAATCAACCCTCACCATTATATTTCCTTCTCATAACCTTTTGCCCTCTCAAAAACTTATTGTTTAAGTTTAGAACAATTTATTTATTGTTTCAAAAACATCAAATCATCGAGGTTCGAAACAACGACCGAGGGTAATTTTTTTATAAGAGTTCGCTATATTAAATGTATGTGAAATATTTCTTTTGTGTTATTAGATTGCGAGTCAAATTATCGAGTGGTTGCACGAGGAATCCCTTACGGTTGGTATCAAGGCTGACAGGGACTTCCTATCTCTGGCTTTCGAGCTCGATCAGGGAGAAATTGTCCGGTTGGTGGCTCATGTGGACCCAGATGATGCCCATGGTTGCATCTCTTGGTGGCTCACGATGGAAGACGGTCAAACGGGCGAACCCAAGCTTCGTTTGGATATGTCTATTGTTGAAACCGAAACAAGGAAGTTTTTGGGATACCTGTCGCTTGATGTGTTGTACTCTACACTATTGGATTTTCTTAACCTGTGCAGCTGTTGTTGAAGGGATAAAATTGCTTTGTTTGCCATTTTTCTGTGTTAAGTTAACCAAAGGGTTTGTTAGATGGCCCTGTGAGATTACACCAAAATGAGGCCTTTACAGAAATTAGTAATAGTCATATGTTTATGGTAATCACTCAAGAGACGTGAGGATTCAGGATTGTACATTGGCATGACAGGATTTTTTTTTTTTTTTAAATTTTATGTTTTGGCAATTAAGTTTTAGTGATCTATTTTTGACATGCGACATTAATATTTCTAATTATTAAATTTTTCGTTATGTGAAATCTTGGCGCTAAGATCATTTGCTCTCTTATTTTCCAAATGTTTAAATTTTTGCTGAAGCTTCTGTTTAATGTTTGTGGAAATTAGACGACAGTCCCTGATATATTTTAGATCACTCATTCATTGACAAGATATGTGTGTGATACAAGAAAGAAATTAGTAAAAGACAAAAGAAAAGGCAAAATACGATAATAATGGTGATTCTGAAATAGCTTAATCATTTTTAATTTGAACTTTTAAATGAAATAAGGTAAGGTTCCCTCGTTAATTGTTCCTTCTCGGTTCGATTTATTTAAACAAGACGCTCGAGTTCATTTAATTAACAAATTGATAAAGTTCATTAAGACTTAAAAATAAAAGTTTTCATACAATTTTTTATAATTTAACTCTGAAGACTGAAGATTGATAAATTAATTAAATGGAGTAGTATAGGAGTATAGGACTAAAATAAGGCATATTTATTTATCAGGGCAATTTTAGTCGCCCAATAAATTAACACGTGTAAATAAATAAATTAACGTTCAGCTTCAGCAGTTTTTGCACAACTAATAAATTATCATGATATTGCTAATAATAATAAAATAGTAACAAAAATAAGAAAATTTCCAACCTGCCCTAGGTCCCATTTCTCTCAATCCTTGCTTCTCCGTCCTCCTCCATCGCCGCCGCCGGGAAGCATCGCAGGCGCCGCCGTGAAAGTCTTCCTCATTTTTCTCTTATCCTTCTTGTACATCACATGACGTAAACCCTGAATTTAGACCGCGGTTCTCGTTGAGCTTAGACTGAAATGGTGGCGGTCTGAGCCTCGTTGGAGTCTTAGTAGGCATTCAAGTAATTCATTTCACTATTTTTCCATTTCTTATGTACCTAACTTGTGCTTGTGGTGTATTTTGTGCTTTCTATCTGGTAATTGATGCTCGTGAGGCCTTTTTGCTCTTGACTCGGAGGTTATTTTATCACATTAGGTGTGTCTGTGTTTGTATGGATGATGTCTTTTGGAGACCCGAAATAGAATGATTTGACATTGAATACGATGAAGGTACACTAGACAATATGGGTGTTGAATATGTTAGTAACGATTATTTGCTGTTTTTTGTAGCTTCGATTTGGCAGCTGGAGTTTGCAGAAGTTTTGATTTGATTCACTTTTTTTTTTCTTTAATTACGTGCTATACTTTATTGGTTTATGTGTTTTGTTGCTCATTTCAGGAACTTAGTTGCAGAGAAATATACATTTCTCAATGTACTTGTCAGTTGATTTTAGTTTTTGAAAGAGGAAAGAAAATGGTTCTGTCTATTTACTGTAATTCTACAATGATATTTTGTGTGCAAAATAAGTATTCAAAGCCTTTTGAAAAAAGAAAACAAGTGTTTCCTTGCGAAAAAACTTGAATATTCTTGACCTGTAATATATAGTTGTTTGTCTCTAAATGTAGGCCCCATTTGTTACAATAAGTCTCACAATGAAGCCAAGAAGAACCACCGAGTCATCTAGGGGCTCCAAAGCAATTCAGGGGGAGGGCCCTAACTGGGTCCTTATTGCAGGGAGTGCTTTGTTGAGCACCCTCTCGATTCGCCTGGGTTACAAGCTTAAGCAGGTCTTTGATGCTAAGCAACCAAACAGTAGTAGCCAGAGTCTTAAAGGTTCATCTACGCATATTATAATAGATGTGACTCATTTTCGAAAAAAATTTATACTGTTTTCAAGTGTTGTTTCTGGTTTTGCAGTAAATGGAAAATCCGATGAACGGAGGAAGTCCTCGAGCTGCCATTCGCACTCAAATGGCTTTTGCTTTCCCCATGATGAAGATAGTTGCTACAATCATTATTCAGGTTCTTTTGACTTTCTCGTATTATCCATTTACCTTCTATCGGTTGACTGGGCCTCAAATCCATAACGGGTTTTAGGTTGGACTCAGGTTTACTCTTATTTTTGCTTAAACACTCTCCCAAGCACCATGCGCGGATTTTCCTCCAAACATTTGAAAATTTAAACTTATTCCAAAAGTGATCCCAAAAGTTCACTCATGTCGTCTACACCCCTAAGATTGTGAATATATAAAATTAGTTAATTTCTACAATCTATGTATCTTTTCCTTTTTTTTTCTTTTTTTTTTTNAGCAGGACTGAGGACAGCTGTCGAGATCAAACCTCAACTCAACGGCCAGATATCCGAACCCGACGAGATGCCCCTCCCTCTCGTAACCGTCCCACCCTCCGAATTCGACAAGGAAAACGGCATGATTTGGTCCTCCGCCTCCCCCAATCATCGGCTCGAGCTCCCCCAGAAGCCCTTCCACCAATCAAACAGCTCCGAGTCCCCGTGCGTCTCCGAATCCGGTTCCGACATTTTCAGCAAGAGAGAGGTCATCCAGAAGCTGAGGCAGCAGCTCAAGAAGAGGGATGACACGATAATCGAGATGCAGGACCAAATTACCGACCTTCAAAACTCTCTCTCCTCCCAACTTTCTCACTCCTCCCACCTCCAATCCTTACTGGATGCTGCGAACCGGGACTTGTTCGAGTCGGAAAGGGAAATCCAGCGGCTGAGGAAAGCCATTGCCGATCACTGTGTAGGCCAAGTGAAGGGCCCTGGTGAGAAAATGCCCACGGTCCCCGTCTGGCCCGGGGAGGTGAAAAACGGGTATCTGGAGATGGAGGGCAATTTGGGTATTTTCGAAAAAGGGGAGGAGAAGGTCGAGTTGTTGAAGAGGGAGGTTCACGAGCTGAAGGAGCTGATTGAGGGGAAAGACTATTTGCTTCAGAGCTACAAGGAGCAGAAATCTGAGCTGTCGGTGAAGATTAAGGAGTTGCAGCAGAGGCTGGACTCACAGCTTCCGAATATTTTGTAGGGTGT